AATGACAATTTTCCTGCGGGGGAACACTTATGATAAGTTTGAAAAAAGGGTGTGCTGCCGAGGTTTTCAAAACCTGCCCCTGTTAAAGACAAAATCCGTTCATTTTCTCTCATTAAGACAAGAGATCTTTTTTCATAACTCTGATTCATTTCTCTTTGCATACAGAATTAAGTATTTGACATCAATAGAATTATATCGCAGGTAAGGAAATGCGGGTACCACGCATAAAGACTACACACCGCCAACGTTCACCCCATGTTCAAGGCTTTTAAGACTCGAGACCACAAAAGCATACCTTGATCAGCCGCACATCCTCGTTTAGGCCAAATAAGGGAGTACCCCTCCCCACCCCCGGGAGTTACACTNCAGGTAAGGAAATGCGGGTACCACGCATAAAGACTACACACCGCCAACGTTCACCCCATGTTCAAGGCTTTTAAGACTCGAGACCACAAAAGCATACCTTGATCAGCCGCACATCCTCGTTTAGGCCAAATAAGGGAGTACCCCTCCCCACCCCCGGGAGTTACACTAAGTTTCCCTCTGTACGTGATCAAGCCGAAAACAAAATTTAAATGTTCAATATTCTGAAGTTCCCTATTACAGAAATAGCTACAGTTGGATTTGATCATTCAGCCAAAAACTCTTACCAGACCAGACGAAACACACCACATCGTCTGTTGTAACATGAAGCAGTTCAGGAAAGAAGCGATACTCCATGGAAGGATACGCCTGTTGAATGTTTCCTCTCTTTCCCATCCCAAAGATGTATTTTATGGTGGTGTTGTGATAATTTTTCGGAAGAATATTTCTTGGTTTCAGAAGGAACACGTGAGTTCTGTCTTGGAATGTTCGTCCAACCTGAGCGGTATTCAAGGCAAGCTGAAGCTCTGTTTGCCCATCAGTAGCTTTAGTTTTCGGGTTTTCCTTCACTCTAAAAGACAAGAGATTATTATTGTCACAGACTTGAAGATTTGGACAACAAAATGCGCAAGGGCAAACTTTGTGGATAGTTTAATCAAGAGAAGGCTAGAGGAAACGGCGAGATTGTGATCAGGTTGCAATCTCTGTAGCAATCAACTGATTTTTCGGCAGCTGTCGACTGAAGTACGCAAGTCCCGCCTCGTTCCCAGATGTCCGCTTCTTACCTTTAGGCGGAGCGCGTGGTATTTTAGGAAGGATTTGCGCTACATAGTTGGGGATTGGAACAAAAAAAGAACGTGTGAGAGGCGACATTACTGTTCTGGAGCTAGGCAAAACCACATGGAAAATTCATCATTTCGGGGTAAGCCAAGTCGGACTGTTCTTTATTTCTCAGTATTGCGGGAGCCGATTACTATAATCGGCTCCTGGTATTGCGTAAATGTGTCTTAGTGTTGTCACGAGTCTTTACAAACAGCACAGTATTTCAGTTAAAAAATATATAACTTTTCGCTTTGACTTGAACCAGTAGCATAATCAGGCATGGGTTAAAAAGTGTCCGTTAGAAGCTTTTCAGTAAGTATCACGAATACAATTGTTTAAAAGCAGCACAAAATTAAATGGTCTATTATCGTGAAATTTATAGATTGTTATACACCGATATGACGGCTGCGATACTAAAGTACTCAATAGGATTGCAATGTTTTAAACTTTGAAGTATTACATGGGCTATCAATTCTAATCAAAGTCAAGGCACATTTCCTAAATTAATTCTGAATGTTATTCTCTTTTAAAAAGGGAATCAATCCCTCAAATTTTATCAATCCTACAAACGACTCAATCTTTTTTTGCCATACCGGTGACCAACTGAAGTGTCTTGCGACTGAATGGTTTCCTATACTTCTTCTTCTACTTTCCCAGTGAATTAACAGCAGTAACGTTAAGTGAAACTATATCACTCTAATTGATTCAGTATTTCCCATATCATTTTTTACTTACTTATCGTTATCGCTGGTATTAAATTCGCGCGGAACATCGTCACTGGTGATGTTATATCTACGACATAAATTAAAATGCAATGTATAAATCGTAAATAGAGTAAACACATTGACAAATTAATAATGTTAATTGGAAATGGTGGCCACCAGAGCAGGATTTAAACCCAAGATCTTCGTACCTATCTTAACCAGCTTGACTTCGAGTGATTCCCAATTTTTCTCAGGAATACGCGCGAGCATGAAAATTGCCAACCGCCGGGAAAGTAACATGCGCACGCGCATTTTTGCTAATTTGCTGCAGTTCGCCGAGCAATACGCTAGATGCAAAGGGTCTTTATTTACTGACACACTGTGTGATCTTGAAGTATCCAAAAGCTCTTTTTATTACTATGGTACATCCCTTCTTAATTCACCTCCGGCTCCTGTCAGTGTTAAGGCTCTGCGTCCTCAAGATTGTCCGCTATGCAATTAATAACCCTGGCCTTTTGAGACAGTTTTCATTGGAACCATTTTAACGCATTTTTACAGATTATTTTTCTTTTATTTTAGTGGTAACCCTGTTAAATTATCGATTATTATTGTTATTTCTACTATTATTTCTGACGAAAACAAGCGACAGCCTCTATGTGAGCACGTATAGAACGTTCTAAAGTCGGGTACTCAGTTTTTTCTCCGCTGCGACAAGTCACATGAACACTAAGCATGTCGCGGGATGTATTGCTACACAAGGCGCTATTAATAATGCAGAGCTGTGAAGAAAATGAACCAATCAGAGGGAATGTTCTGAATAGTTTGTCGTGTTCGTGAACTGCTGCCTGTAAATGAAGAAACAAACAAACCCCTAATTCATGTGCCTATGTATCTACTGACCGCAAATTTGTCGCTGCGGCATGTCTCAGCTACATGAACGACGACTTGTTGTCATACAGGATTTACCTTATACGTAACACGCAGCGTTGTGTTACGTTGGAAGGAAAGCAGGGGACTTTCCACTTGTATGACGCAAACTTCCCATCGCGGCCTACTCCGTTGTGGTTGATGTAAGTGGAAGGCGCATACAAAACTTCGGGTGGCTTCGGAACAAGGACATACTGCTCCAGTAGATCTCCACCTTGTGCGACCTCGTGTGGTTCATACGGAACGCCTCTCTTCAGATTTATCCCCCCTATTCCGTGACAGGTGCTTAGGACTCCACGCGTTCTCTCCATAACGTTTGTGATGAATCGTGTCCACTTCCCACCAGCCTTCTTACAAGCCTCTGCGGTGAGATATTGAGCGACGCATTTTTCTCCTCGTTGGCCATCATTCTTTTTTGGGCATTGATCGCTTGATTTGCTTCGCATGATGCACATATCTGTGGAAAGCAATTTGATGAGGAAACGGTGATTTTTGCAATCATGGTTGACAAATTTCTCCTTGATTTCGACGCGATTTTTTAGCTTCAGTTAATTTAACATTTCACAAGTGAAATTACAAAGTTAATTGTTATGTCAACCGTTGACGTGCTGAGATTACCTCCAGGGTTACAAATGAAGATGTCAGGACATTTAAACAAGCTGATTAAAAGACGCTCAAGGAGAAAACCTTAACTAACGAAAGACCACACTAGAAGAAGAATTGTACTCGGTCAAAAATCATGCGAGATGTTATCCGAAGAACGTTGTAAATTGCTAAACAGGAACACGCTTCAACATCAAAGAGAATACCTGTACCCTGGTGGAATGCTACAAGATAGTGTTTGGACTTAATGACCTAGACTTAAATGACTACTTCGAGTATTGTAAAAGTAAAAACCGTAGAACCAACCATCCATAAAAGATGTAAATGAAATCAGCTAAAGTCAACTCCCTTTAGTACACCTTCTTTTTGAGAATCATCAAAGACTGGAACACTTTACGAAACCACCTCTTTACTGTTGAAATTAATGCTTTCATGGGTTTATAACGAAGCACTGAATTCAACTACCTGCTCCCAGTTGGCTTGTTAGCTCAATTGGTAAAGCGCTGCACCGGTATCGCAGAGGTCAAGGGTTCGAATCCCGTACATGCCTGAATTTTTTCAGGCTTTCTTTTCGCAACTGGAAAAGTTGCGTCTATAAATGCGATGATCTTCTTTTATATAATGTTTATATGTATATGTATTTGAATAAAGTATTATGAAAGTATTATTAATATTATTTTAACAGCAAAATGGATTCTAATATAGGTCGATGGTGGAGTTCTCTAGCAACTCAAAATTGTAAGCGTAACTCGTCACCCATTATTGTATTCAACTGGTATGACCTTGAAATTAGCAAATAATTTGAGAGGCGATGGCAGCAAAAACAGATCTAGATAATTTGTAATACTGGTACAGGGGAAGGCCATCGAAAGAAATCTAGCATGCAAGAGGTTGCTTCCAATGCAACGTTGCTTTCTGTTTCTGTTATAAGCACTTTATGTCCCCGATCTTGTTTCATGTTTATTTACGTATATGCTTTCGTAGTTATTCTCCTAATCATCGGCCAGTTAATTAACAGATTCTCTCTTGGTTATTTTTCCCCCATACCCCTTATCCTACAGTAACGGTGTAAGTAAACTCAGTATCTTGTCACTTAACGTTCGGGGTTTGAGAAATCGCGTCAAAAGAAACAGTATATTTAGTTTTTTAAAAGATAAAAATTGTCAATTCTATTTCCTGCAAGAAATTCATTCAGTTTCTGATGACGCGAATACGTGGAGTAATGAATGGGGAGGTGACATTTTCTTTTCGCATGGATCAACACACAGCCGTGGTATTTGTATTTTAATTAACCCTTCTTGCAGCTATACTGTTGAAAGTCTCAATAGGGACCAAAATGGAAGAATCATTTCAATTAACCTGAGCTCCGGCTCTGCAAACATTTCATTGTGCAACATATATGCTCCCAACGATCTACAACAACAGTTAGCCTTTTTGCGCAATCTGAATAACTTTTTGATAACAAATATAGACACTGGAAATCTCATTGTTGGCGGCGATTGAGATGTTACCTTGGAAGCCGTTGACAAAAAAGGTGGGTCCCAGTGGAAACCCACCTCATACCGCAATCGAGTCATTTCCATGATGAAAGAATTTTCACTGATTGATGTCTACAGAAATCTTAATCCAAATAAGCTGTGTTTCACCCACAAATCCAAACTCTCTTCTCGTATTGATTTTTTCCTTGTATCACAACCCCTTGCAAATCGAGTTTCTCATTTGGATACTTTAGTTTCCATCGCGCCTGATCACAAAGCAATTAGAGTCCAATTGCAACTGGAAAATGACAATAGAGGCCCTGGGCTATGGAAATTTAATAATTCATTGTTAGAAGACGAAATTTATGTTAAATTGATCACTGACAGCTATGCTGTCATCCAAAACAAATAATCAGGAATTGAAGGAAAAAGGCTGAAATGGGAACTCATTAAGATGGAAATACGTGGCATCACTATTCCTTTCTCTAAAAATTAAGCTAAACAGTTACAACAAAGAGAAAGTTACATTCAAAATAGACTACAAGTGCTTGACAGGGTCATTTCTAACAGTCCTAATACAGACTGTATTAAGAATGAAATAAACGAATATAATAATTTAAAAGAAGAAACAGTTGATCTCGTTTATCAAAAGAAGGGTAAAGGTAGTATCATACGTTCCAAATATAAATGGATTGAACGAGGTGAAAAGCCGACCGCTTTCTTTTTGAACCTAGAGAAGAGGAATTACAATCTTAAGTCAATTAAAAAGCTGGAGGGAGCAGAAGGTACAACCGTGACTAATAAGGACGAAATATTAAACGAAATTGGAACCTTTTATAAGCAATTGTATAACTCCGGAATAGACGAAAATGACTTGTTCGATTTGTTTGTACAAAGTCCAGAAACTCCTAAACTCCAAGACCAACAGAGAAACGAATTAGAAGGCGAAATTACACTGGCGGAGTGCAAAGTAGTACTGCGGACTTTCAGTAGCGGGAAATCACCAGGCGAGGACGGTTTTACATGGGAGTTTTATAATTGTTTCTTTGATCTACTAGGACAGGACTTAGTAAATTGTTTTAATGAGGCATATGTGAAAGGCGAAATGTCAATTTTGCAGTGAAGAGGTGTAATACCTCTCCTCCCAAAAGAAGACGCCAACCTCCTAAAGCTTGCAAATTGGCGTCCGATTACGTTACTAAATGTTGACTATAAAATTGCATCAAAAGTCATAGCTACGAGATTTGAAAAGGTTTTGGATCTCTTAATAAGCCCTGACCAAACAGGCTTTCTGAAAGGTAGATACATTGGGCAAAATATTAGATTGGTCAACGATGTAGTAGAACAAACAAAAATACAAAATATTACAGGTATTCTTGTACAGCTTGATTTTTGTAAAGCTTTTGATACTATCGAATGGAGCTTCATTAAAAGAAGTCTCGCACTCTTTAATTATGGAGACAGTATACAACAATGGGTCTCGACTTTCTATAATAATTCGGAGAGCGCTGTTCTTAACAATGGATTTTGCACAAATTTCTTTAAACTGTCGAGGGGAGTGAGACAAGGCTGCCCTTTGTCCCCTTATTTATTTATCGTAGGGGCGAAAATCTTAGCGTGCAAAATCAGACAAGACAAAACAATGAAAGGAATAACAGTCTTTCAAAAAGAGCTGAAACTAAGCCAGTTTGCCGACGATACAACTCTTTTGTGCAATGATTGCAATTCGGTCAATCGAGCTATCACGGTTCTTAATTCCTTTGGAAATCTATGTGGCCTTAGGCTAAACCCGTCAAAAACCAAAGCGCTTTGGTTAGGGGCATTAAGAAGTCGCAAGGACGAACCCTTTAACTTTAAGTGACCCAAAGAAGCGCTTAGAGTCCTTGGAACCTATATTTCATACCATGAGAAACAAAACGAGGAATTCAATTTTAAAGGAAAGATGCAAAAACTTGACACCATTCTTGGCATATGGAACTCTAGGAACCTCACTCTTTTTGGTAAGTGTCTTAAAACGAAATCTCTCGGCATCTCACAGCTAGTTCACCCACTTTCAACACTCGATTTCCCAACACAATTGGTTCAAGCTGTTAATTCAAGCATCTTTAAATTTATCTGGAAAAATCGAAGAGACAAAATCAAACGCAAAATTATGGTCCAAGACTATAACAAAGGTGGTCTACGTGCCCCAAGCATAGAGACCATGGCCAAATCACTTAAACTGGCATGGATATCCAGGTTCTTACAAAGTATACCTGCGCATGACGACGAATCATGGAAGGTCATTCCCAACCACTTTCTTGATAAATACGGTGGTTTGAACTTCCTGCTACGTTGCAATTATGACAAGAATTTTCTTGATAAGATGTAGTTAGATGTGTCTCCCTTACTTCTATAAGTTGATATTTACTGCATTTCTTAGAACATAAAATTTCTTGTAATACGCAGTTTTGCCGGTTTGTATTATTCAACAATAAAGATATTTTAATTGGCGGCCGTTTATTCTTTTATAGAAGTTGGTTGAATAAAAATGTCTTTCTTGTTCAAGATCTCTTAGGAGATGATGGTACGGTACTTTCTTACTCGGAATTTTTTAGGATATTTCGACTGAACGGTAATTTCTTACAATACATGCAAGTTGTTTCTGCGATTCCTAAGGATCTGATCGATGACGCATGGAGATACCACATTGACAAAACCAGTATTTTGTCCGAAAGCTCCTTCCAGCTCTCAGCGGACCTTTCATTAGATTTACTTAAAATGAAAAATAGAAACTACTACTAGCTCTTGATTAGTAAAGATCAACATGAAATAAACGCTAACATGAAATGGGAAAGAGACCTCCTACCTGAAATAATACTTGCAAGGCACCATTTCCCCCGTGTGAAAAATATTTGCAGAGATAACAAACTAAGAAAATTCTACTTTAAACTCTTACACAGAATTGTCGTCACAAAAAGAGAAATGTTCACGTATGGTATTGCAGAAAATGCGATTTGTCCTTACTGCAGACAAAATGATTCAATAATCCATACTTTTTTTTAACTGCCACTGGACCAAGTGGCTTTTTTCAGAAGTAATCAAATGGTTCAACGTCGAAAATGCCACCTCCTTTGCGCCATCCTCAAGTGAATTAATTTTTGGTCTTAATAATGATAGAAAGAATCAAACTGCTCATCGGCAATTGTCAAAAAGCTCGATTTTACTCTTTTGTTTGCTAAATATTACTTGTACATAAATAAGTTAGCTCCTAAAGATTTATCTTTGGATGAATTTAAGGCTAAAATCAGTTGGAGATACGATTTCGAAAAACCCCCCACCTTCAATTAGTTAGTAAGAATCCATCTTACCGGAATAATCTGTTAATTAGCAGGTCTAACGTTATTGTGCGAATTATTACAACTACTGTATTATTCTTTCTCGTGTTTATGTAATTTTGATCCAATCTGTAATATCGTTATATACCTTCTTTTAGTTTTAAATTTTGTAACTGTACTATGTGTTTTGTCAATAAACGTCTATTAATTTAAAAAAGAAAACGTCACTTTTAAAGTGCATTGGCGCTCTTAAACTTAATCGTCAATATTCTGAACTGCAAAACGAGCAGTCAAGCAAAGTCCTAGAGAGAGGCGGGTGAAAACGGAGTGTGAGATTGGGGAGAGACGCGAAAAATACGCATTTGCGCGTTGCATTGTGTTTGGTTTGTTTTAAAAAGATTCCAATAGGTAAATGCAACGACTATTCACTTATGCTGCAAATGAATCCAGCCGTAACGTTCTCGCTGCCGTCGCCATCATCGTAACGGGCATATACAAGTTGTCCCTTGTAGAGAGTGTTGTGACCGATCTAGTCGGCAAATAACGAAGGATTACAACGGATTCAACCTTAGACGATGGCTTTACTCCGCCTACACGACGTGGTCCTTAATCCTATAGTGAGGCGTTCCAATGCCCTACTGAGGGGGAGTCTGGGTCCTAATACACAACAGAGAGGCTGAACTGAAAATCAGCTACAGGTTGCTTCAAAAGTTCGTTCCGATTTTTTCTTCACTTAAATTTCACTGATTATTAAAGATAACTTTTGTAAACCTGAGCATGTTATTCATTATTCACTTAACATTGACTAACTGAAATATTAGCAACCAGAATATCTCCCTTTATGATTTCTGACATTTTCTAAGCGGTGAGGTATAGAATGTACGAGGTCCCATAGCGTGTCTAAATTCACAATTTTCCAGGTGAAGCGTGGTCGCTGTCTTAGCTAGTCCAGTGTTTTGGGGGCTGGATCTTTGTATGTTGTCTCATCAACAATAATCTACATGGTTATTAGAGGGTTCGCATCACGTGAGTTTGCCGGCCGGTCGTCCTTTGGTATAAAGTTTGCAAATTCTTCTGATGCCATGCCTGCATGAAGTGTGCACCGCCTTTTTTCTCTTAAAGGCTTTCCAACCTTTGTTGTACCTTGAAATGCAGAACTCTTGTCTTAAAACATCTGCATGGTGATCGCGCAGCAGCCATTTTGTTGAAAATGGATATCCGTCACTAAGATTTCCAAATATGGTCAAAATGAATATTCACGAGCATTGAACGCGACTTACACGTTTCAACCCCTTATGGGTTTCTGCTTAAACTTAATCGTCAATATTCTGAACTGCAAAACGAGCAGTCAAGCAAAGTCCTAGAGAGAGGCGGGTGCAAACGAAGTGTGAGATTGGGGAGAGACGCGAAAAATACGCATTTGCGCGTTGCAATGTGTTTGGTTTGTTTTAAAAAGATTCCAATAGGTAAATGCAACGACTATTCACTTATGCTGCAAATGAATCCAGCCGTAACGTTCTCGCTGCCGTCGCCATCGTCGTATCGGGCATATACAAGTTGTCCCTTGTAGAGAGTGTTGTGACCGATCTAGTTGGCAAATAACGAAGGATTACAACGGATTCAACCTTAGACGATGGCTTTATTCCGCCTACACGACTCGTGGTCCTTAATCCTATAGTCAGGCGTTCCAATGCCCTACTGAGGGGGAGTCTGGGTCCTAATACACAACAGAGAGGCTGGACTGAAAATCAGCTACAGGTTGTTTCAAAAGTTCGTTCCGATTTTTTCTTCACTAAAATTTCACTGATTATTAAAGATAACTTTTGTAAACCTGAGCATGTTATTCATTATTCATTTAACATTGACTAACTGAAATATTAGCAACCAGAATGTCTCCCTTTATGATTTCTAACATTTTCTAAGCGGTGAGGTATAGAATGTACGAGCTCCCACAGCGTGTCTAAATTCACAATTTTCCAGGTGAAGCGTGGTCTGTCTTAGCTAATCCAGTGTTTTGGGAGCTGGATCTTTGTATGTTGTCTCATCAACGATAATCTACATGGTTACTAGAGGGTTCGCATCACGTGAGTTTGCCGGCCGGTCGTCCTTTGGTATAAAGTTTGCAAATTCTTCTGATGCCATGCCTGCATGAAGTGTGCACCGCCTTTTTTCTCTTAAAGGCTTTCCAACCTTTGTTGGTCACATATCTCCATACCGTTGTGTACGAAACTTTGATATTGTGAAGCTATAGTTTTCCTTTTACCTTTCAGTCTTGTTGAATTATTACGCATATACTTACAGCTTTGTCCGATAACATTTTTCACACAGTTTGTGAAAAAAACGGTCATCTACTCCTTGGTTTGTCTTGTAAGGTCTTTACTTTGACCACTTGTTCTCTCATCGTTCAGACTTCTTCAACAATTTGACAATTTCTTTGACTAAACGGACCGAGTACCGTAAAAATAGATGCCTGAGCTCTATCACAAACAGTGTACGCCTTCATTTTCGTGAAAGAGTGTAGAGAAAACAAAAGAAAACGCCAAAAAAACGAAAATAGAAAACCTACAAAATGGGCAGGAAAAATATGGCGGAAAAAAATTCGCGTACTTGCACATTTGGGGAAAAAATTTAAAAAATATTATAATTTCTTCAAATTTTAGTTTGAAATTGCTTTGAACGGTTATTTAGATAAATTTCCTACCTGAATCAGGTTACATTTGCCTAAGGAAGCATTAAATGCTTTGCGCAAAATACAATTTACAATCGGAACGAACTTTTGAAACACCCTGTAAACCCTTCACATACCCTCCCTTGATATTTCTAAACAGATTCTTAACTAGAATACACTCACATTTATAGCCGTATTGAGAGCTGTTAACATGCTTCTTCATCAAATCAAAGGTCTTCTCATCGCTGACCATGATAGCAATGTCCTTCCAAGGGCTGGGGCCCCAGTATGGATAGTAATCACGCTCCTCAGGGACCTCATACCCCCTCCTATTTCCATCTTTATTTTGCCGCGTGTAGATTGGCGTATCGCCTGCAAGATTTTGGCCAGCGGTATACAAACCTGAGGATCAAAATACATTATAAAATTATAGTACACATGAGGATTCCTACTAGGCACTTGAATTGCTTTCACGTGTCCAGTCTAAAAGAGATTATTTTCATGGTACACACATTCATAAACCTTTAAGTAGACCAATCCGTATCTCAGTCACACTTTCCTTATAACTTTCTTGCATTTTGTAGCCTTGCTACACGCATACTATTTAATGTGTTATTTGTTTGTTTGTTTCAACGAAAAACAATTGTTGGGAAAACTAGCTTACTGCGCAGACTACTCTGGCTTTCCGGCGGTTTCAAACGCATTAAGGGGAAACTGGGAAAGTTAAGAAGAGACTGGGAGGAATTAGCCAGAGTAGCCTGCGGAGGACTCCTCTTCTCCACACTCTCCTTCCCTCCCTTTCCCCCTCCCCCTCGTTTTTCTTTTCGTTCATCCCCAGTTTCTTTTCTTTTCTTTTCTTTCCAGTTTCTCCTCTTCCCCGGCGTTTAAAATGACCATAGAAAAGCCAGAGGAGGAGAATTGGCTTAAAAAGAATTGAACAATAGCCGAACAATGAATAACGATAATGACGTTGCAGCGTTTCTTCTCTTCTGTTCTATCAAAACTTTGGGAAACTATTTCTCACAGGAACTAAAAAAACAACAACTATAAAATACCTACATTTCTACAGGCTGTACAGTCAAATCCCGTTATTAGAGAGCTTTAGATTCGAGGACGAGAACGAGTACGAGTACGAGATTTTCCCAATACAAAGTAGTGTGCGCGCGTGAACTAGCGTCATTTTGGCGGGAAAACGAGATAGCCGTCGTCATTCTACAACGGGTTTTAGCGAGAATGTAGTAGTGGCGGAAACAAGAACAACAATGTTAGAAGTTTTTTCATTTTGGGATCGGGAGAGGGCTTAACGTCTTTCACTTAAGATAGCAGTGCTAAATTAACTGGTGAATCAAAAGTACAATAAAGCTTTCCGGGGTGCTAATTTTTTGA